ATTCATCACATTTTTTAAAATACTCTCTAAGTCTACTTCTACGGTTTGAATAAAAAACCATCACCGACGATTAAATGGTAAATATGACAAATACATCTCACATGGAAACAATTACTAAATGCAGGATTTAGTGTTGTTGTAAGTATGCCTATAGCACTAGTGTTACTAGAAGCATTATCCATAGAAATTGCCATTATTTTATCTCTAATGCAAAAATATCTACAAATATCTGCAACAGTGTTAGCAATAAACTTACCTGTGTGACGTGAATTAATTATTCTATAAGCAATAATGCGTTTTTGCATTATCCACTCCTCATCTATCCAATGATTTGTAACAGTTAGATAATCACAGTCATTATTACTTCTACCAATATCAGTAGTAATAGAAATTCGATTAGTTATATGAGTAAATAAATACCGCAAATATTGTTCATATTCATGTTTATATTTATAAATATCGCTCTTAACTGTTGCGCGAGGCCAACCTTTATAAGTAGGATTAAAAACTTTTCTAATATAATGCACAAAATTAGGGTTAGAAGGAAAAGTATATGGTAAGCACATAACAGTAACCATCTTTGCTAATTCTTCACGATCTTTATTAGGATCGTAATATAAAATACCACCGGTCACAGTGTTAATTCCTGGTTGAACTAGATTTGAACCTGTACTAGGGTTAACCGCAGTATCTACACTTGTCCCCTCTTGCTGCGCTTTCATTTGTAAATATTTAACTTTATCTCTAGGGTGTGTTTGTATGTGCCTAGCCAAACTACCCGTACCGCTACGGTCTCCAGTATATTTATGCGCCAGCAATTTCCCACAAGTTTTACACTTAGCCTTATTTTGTTCTCTTACTTGAGTAAAAAAATTCCAAACTATTGATGTTTCTAGGCGTTTAGAAGGTTGTCTATTAAAAGTAGGGGTTTCTACAGGTGGGTCGGGCGGGGCATCAGTTGGGTTATTAACAGGACTAGTAGGTGAATCATCTAAATCCGGTTGGGTTTCATCTACATCCTCATTTTCCTCATCATTTTCTAAGATAGTTTGATTAGGATAAAGAGCATTCATAACTTCTTCATTTAATTGTTCACCTGGTGCAACATTATGGCAAAATTCACTATCGGAAAATTGAAAACAAGGGTTATCACTATCAAGAATAATAGGAGCAGCAGGACGGGTAACAGGTCTGGGTCGGGGAGCCGAGGGAAGGTAGTAGGTTGGCGACTACTTTCACCAATTTTAGCTTTTCCCTTACCACCAAACATTTTTTTCAAAGAAAATACCATATTAATTACAATTATGCAAACTAAAACACACAAAAATATATTCTTAAAACTTAAAAGTTGGAACGAGTTTACCGAATTGCCGAACAACTTCTTGAAAATTGAAAATCGTTGAAGACTTGAAGACTTGAATACTTCAATTAAACAACTTCACAATTTTTCACGAAATTGCAATAATAAAATAAGCAATTATAGAAGAGAAATTAGATATAGATTGAGAGAGATTGATGAATTGGTGAGTAAAAATGAAAGAATGAGGGGGTATTTATAGTTGAGAATTAGGAAAAAGTGTAATTATGTAAAGTTTGGGGTTAAAATAAAGTTTGGGGGCCAAATGGCTATTTTTTAAAGTGGCCAACGGATAAATTTTGAAAGCCAACGGCTAGATTTTAAAAATCTGACCGTTGGTCTTTTTTATTAAAAATTTTTTTTAAAAAAAAAATAGCCGTTGAAGCCCGTTAGGCCCGTCGGGCCCGGTTGAACCGGCCCAGGCCCGCCTGCCGGTCCCGGGCTTAGCGGTCCCGGGCTTGTGGGCTCCTTGAATTGGACCGGCCCGCCACGGGCCTTGTGCACCATTTGGGACCGGCCCACCAGACCCGTTTAGCCCATTTGGACCGCGGTCCCCGTCCGGTCCCGGGCCAGGCCCGACCCACAGTGCACCATTAGGTCTACATAATTTTAGTTTTGCTCTTTCTGTGTAATACCACTATTATTTGTTGTTTTAGATTTCAGTAGAATGAATAGGCCTAATTAAAGATTTAAAAAAATGAAATGGTTAATGACTTCCCCTCTTCCTCTTCTCTTTTTGCTTCTTCTCCGTTTTCTTCTACTCCTCTGTCTTTTATTTTTTGAGAAATGACATGTTTGTGTGTGTTTGCCTTGGTTGTTTAGTATCGAATTTTATATTTTTCAAATTAATATACTATCACAATCACAAACATGTAAAACTATAAAACTATGAAGAAAACTAACGTTGAGTTGAACTTTGACCAAGTGTTTTGAAAGTTATACATAGTCTTTATTTTTCCTTTAATACCTTATTTTGGAAATCCAAAATACTCCAAATACAAAAGTAGATAAAAAGAATGAAAATGAAGATATTATAGAAATACAAAACTAAATCTTGTGTTAGATTTATTTATTTATTTGTTACTCTTGAAAATATATCATAGGATTTTTACTATAACTCATAGAAGAACTATTTGTTGTGTTGAATTTTTAATTTTGGTTGATATAATATCTGTTTTTAGATCTTTTGTTTTCAAAATTGAATTGTTCATTAGTGATGGTTTCATTATGGCATGATGCAAGATATCATCTAAATATGGCAAATAGCACAACAAGGTACCAATGCTAATAGTTGATGTTCATTCAACTATATTACCTTAATTAATTATCCAATTTTATTAGCACCAATAAAAGAAGATCCTGCAATTTAAATCTTCAAATTAGGCCGATAAAGTTCTTGCAAAGGAGCAAAATATACGCTTCCATGTGTATAAAAACAAAGAAAGCGAGTCTTGAATATTTTGGAAAGAAGCAATCAACCTTGGAAATGCGATTACATCACAATTGATGGTGCTATGGTTGAAGATTATAGAGAATATAAAATTGATCGAAGAGTAAAGATTAATTTTTTTAATTATAAAATTTTTAACAATAAATTTTCATTTATATTTTGTTTGTTTAGACCGCGCGAAGCGCGGGTAAATTGACTAGTAAAAAATAAATAAAACAAACAAAACTATAATATCAAAACTTAAGAGTTGGAAAGAGTTTACCGGATTGACGAACAACTTGTTGAAAATTAATTATCGTTGAAGACTTGAAGACTTCAATTCACCAACTTCACAATTTTTTCACAAGTTATAACAATAAAGTAAGCAATAGTAGCAATTATAGAAGAAAATTAGAGAGAGATTGATGATTTTGTGAGAAAAATGAAAGAATGAGGGGGTATTTATAGTTGAAAATAGGGAAAAAGTATAATTATAAAAAGTTTGGGGTTAAAACGAAGTTGGGAGGTTAAATGGCTATTTTGTAAATAGCCAACGACTATTTTTTAAAGGCCAACGATTTTTTTTTTGTTTTTTGAATTTTGACTGTTGGGACCGTTTAGGCCCGCCAAGGACCGGTCCGGTCTAGGTCCCAAACGGTCCCGGGCCTAGCGGTCCTAAAGTGAAGAACCGACCAAGAAGCCGGACCAGGCCCACGTACACGGTTCTAACTGTTTCAGGCCTGTTTAGGCCAGAAACCCGTTTGGTCCGCGGTCCCGGGCCGGTCCCGGTCCTGGACCGGCCCACTTGCCACCCTTATACTGCATCATGCTTATTTTTGCTGACCAAGGGTACAACTTTGGCGAGTTTTTGGCCAATATTGTCCCTTATCTTTGAGGGTAGGTCTACTTTGGTCCCTCAAATATAACCCTGAACATATTTAGTCCCTTAAGTATGCTAAAGTGGAGCACCTTTAGTCTCACTGACACAATGTGTTCAAAAACTAATAGCATTATCTCGTGTTACTCATGTGACACTGTAAGAAGAAGATCAACAGTAAAAGAAAAAGTCATTCCTATTTCGGGGTAGGTTTCAGCACTCACCGTCTTTTTAATTTACTTATCAAAAATATTTTATAAACCAACACCCACTAATAGTACAGAGCTAATAAATTTAAGATTTTAACGTTGAAACTTTTACTTTTAAAAATTTTGGTTGATTTTTCCAAAAAGAAAAGTTAAAATTTGAAAAATAATAGAGCTGCTATGATCACTTCTATGCATATTATTGAAGCAAAAGAATAACCAGGTTGATTATCACTCTTCGCCCGCGCTAGAAACTATTTACATCTTGTAGCCGAGAAAGTATATAAAATTTGTATAATTTTTGTATGTAATATATATATATATATATATATACACACACACACACACAAATTTTATTATTTTTACAGCGGTTATAAAATATCATTTTCTCATTGAAAACTGACACAGAAGGGTATATTTTCAATGTCGAAATTTTAGAAGACAACAACAACAATTACCCAGTAAAATTCCACAAAGTGGGGTCTGGGGGACATAATCTAAAAAAGAGGAATTAAAGTGATAATTTGCGTTATCCAATAAAAGGAGAGGAAACATTTTGCTTCAGTGCAAAAGATTTGTTTCATGAATCAGAGTTGGGTAACACCGTCAGTTTTTGAACACATCGTGTTAGTGAGACAAAATGTGCTCCACTTTAGAATATTTAAGGGACTAAATATGCTCAGGGTTATATTTGAGCGACCAAAATAGACCTACCCTAAAAAATAAGGGACAAAACTACAAATATTTGATACTCCTATAATATTTGGTACTTACATTTACTAATAACCCTTTTTAACTTCAAAAATATTCATTTCGTTCGTCTTCCTATGTGTTTCCCCCCTCTATTGCTTGTTTCATCAATGCGGCGAGAGTATGATTCATTTTAGTTTGACATGTGAGCCGAGTGAAAGATGGCCATTGATTTTTCACTAGAAAGTATGGATTCCTCCCCTTCATATGCAAACTGTTGATTGAGGTGGACATGACTTGGGGATTAGTGGACTCATATTTTCATACCTAGATGACGATGAAGAAAACAAAAACCCAATTATGAAAGAAAAAATCACTATTTTTCTACGAAAAAAATATAGTAAAAAAAAATTATACCTTATGCTGAGGATCCAATAAGATATGATAATATAATTTCAATACACAGAAATCAAACAATTAATAAAAAACATTTAAATTATGTAGTCTAGTAGTACCACTTATGTGTTGCAATTCAATAAACCAATCGGCTTTTACTGTAGAAAATATTCAGCACAAAGGCAAAAAGCGGGGATAGGAGCATCTTCGCCAAGACACCAGCTTTGGATCAAAGAGACGATGAGAATTCTCCAGATCTTAACAAGAAAGCTCTCTTCTTCCCAGATTCTAAGCACAGCGCCTTCACTATCTTCAACTTTCTCCTCTCGTCAACTTCACTCTCTCTCCAATCCGTACTTAATTTCTTCCCCCTATCTCTTACTGTATGTATGTATGTATTTATTGCGGTAGTTTATGATGATTCATACTCTATTTGATACAGAGCGTCATTCGGCATTGCGTTTGACATTGACGGCGTCCTGCTTCGTGGCAGCATCCCTATCGCCGGCTCTCCTCAAGCTCTCAAACGCCTCTATGATGATTCTGGTACGACATCGTTTCGGTTATTACATTTGATTTACCGTTTGTTCTTGTTTTATCTCTCTAGTTGAAGTTCAATTCGTGATGTATAAGGTTCGTTACAAGAGGACACGAAAATGATTTTAAACCAGAATAAGAGTTGAAACTTAAGAATCTTAGAAGCTAGAATTCAGGAATTGCAGTGGCCTGCTTATGTTGCAATTGCAAAGGCCAAGGTGACATTGTATTTACTTTTGTAATGTCCAATATCTACTGAATGTGGTATAACATGAATTAAAAAGGATAAATACTAAACTTTTTTGGATTTAGCTATTGAGAAAAAATCTTATTATCCACTTAGAGCCGGTTTGGAAAGCCACCTTGGAAATGGATTTGGGTGTAATTAGGTGTAATTACACAGTTTGACATGTTTGTTTGGCCTAGTAATTACTTGGTCAGCATGGAATTGGGTGTAATTGGAGGGGTGTAATTACACTCTCCAATTCTCGAGGGGAAGTGAGAATTGGTGGTAATTACACCGTGTAATTACAAGATTACTTTTTAGTTTCTTTACTTTTTATTTTAATTTTAATTTATTTTCTTTATAACTTCTTATTTCTATTATTTTAAGTTTTTAATTTTATTTTTACTTTTTTTTTGAAATTTTAAAATATATTTTCCTTTGTACATTATTTATCTTTCATTTCTCTATCTTTACTTCTTGTGATTCCATGTAATTGCTTACATTTTATTTATTTATTTATTTATTATTCTATTTTTTTAAATTACACCCCTTAATATTAGAAATAATGAGTCACTAACAAACTTGGCATATAATGAGTGACGCAATGAAAGTGAAATTTCGTTGTTGAGTGTGGTTATAAACTTATCATGTTTCCTAATCTTAAGTTGTAGTGGAACTTACCATTATTATGTTGGAATTTGACATATGTTAAACTATTTTTTTTTTAAAATTGTGTTATATTCATGGTTTCAATTTACTTGTTTTAGTAGTATTGGCTCACATTGCATGTTGTTCATTTTTGAGTTAGAATTGATAGATTAGTGTTGTCAAACATTTGAATAATGCTATGACATTATATTTATAAATATTAATTTATTTTATCAAACATGAATTCCACGATGTTCTTACAAAATATATATAAATTATTTTTATAATATTAGTTATAAATATATGATTACTGATTAATGTATATATGCACGAAAAAATATACATCTTCAATACCAAATACAATATCATTTATACATATAAAAATTTATAGGTATATATTTATTTTATTAACTTGTAAGTTTTGATAATTACTTAATTTTAAATTTAATCTAACTGTGTAATTACACTTGTGCAACGAAACAATAAACTTGTAATTACACTATGACAAACAAACATGTCATTGTAATTACACAACTGCATAATTATTAGGCTGTGTAATTAATACCCTAGTAATTACATCAATTCCAATTACCTGGTGGCTTTCCAAACAGACCCTTAAAGTTATTTTTTCTTTACACATTTCCAATTCGCTTGCCTTAACCAATATTTGGACAATGTTATCAATCTCTTTACCCAAATAATATCACAAAAAAACTCCTTTTTACTTTTTTTGGTACTTTCTCTTGGTAACCATGTTCAGGGAGGTTAACTAACTTTTGATATGTGCAGGTACTCTGAAAGTTCCCTATGTATTCTTGACCAATGGTGAGTGGTTGATGTATCCTGTTCTGGTCCAACACCCATTTATTTGGCACTGCGGCTAGTTTTTGTTTTCGTTCTTTGCTAATTAAAGTAACAGCTCCTTAAGAGTAATTATCTAAGTTATACAGAGCAACTTCTGGAATAAGATGGGTCATGGCATAGCAGCTATCTATCTTAATACAATAACTGACTAAGTTTACGGCTTATACTATCTCTTTCATGCAAGGTGATTTGCTCTCAGTACATGCTCCGATATCTTATATGTGATTCCTAAGTGTTGCCTCAGGTTGAATATTTAGTAACAGGAAAGCCGAACAGAACTTCTCAGTTGTTAGTTGTCAGTGTCATCAATTAGTATTTTGGTTCCTAATTTTCTTGGGAGATAGGTGCAAGGTTTGCTATAGAAAAATCTCTTAATATTCCGAATTTGTTTTGAGTTCCATTTTTTATACCAAACAAAATTGAGTGAAATAAAAATTATGCACTTTTTATGTGTTTTATGAATCAGGTGAATAGACACTAGGTTTATTCAAAGATCTTTGTAATTAGATCTAATGATACAAACTGAGTAGTGGTGTCATTCACTTACTAGAATCACAGTAAATATAATTCATCCTAGAATAGTTTTTTTGTCTAAGTAATTTATTTTCCACTGTGACTCATTGCTGCAACCTTATTGCAACCTATGTTTCTGAACTTACATGCATTTTAAGAGCTTATTGCTTATCAGAACAAAGGGGCTTAATGTGGTCTCTTATGTTCAATAGGAGGTGGTGTTCCTGAATCTAAAAGAGCAAAGGAGTTGGCCAGATTATTGGATGTCAATATCCTGCCTTTACAGGTATGCAACTTCTGTGAGACGATAGTAGTTGTCTATTGGATATTTTCACGATTATCTTAAATTATGAGTCCGTTTGGATTGGCTTAAAAAATGGCTTTTAAGTTAAGTGCTTAAAAGCACTTTATAAGTGCTGGAACTTTTTTTTAATAAATAAGCAGTTACGTGTTTGGATAAAAGTGCTGAAACTGAAAAAAACCTGATGAAGTGTTTGGTAAACAAGTGTTGGTAAGCACTTTTTATTGTTAAGATGACTTATTTATCCTTAAAATTGTCAAGGATCAAGTAGCAATAGAGGTGGCCGGCGCCGGCGGAGGAAGCTATCCCAAAATCTTCTCCTAATCTCCGTTCACTCCTATCATATCGCCGGACTTCACATTCTCGGATGGAAAATACAATAATTTCTCAGAGGTTAAGAGGTGAGCAAGAGAAAGGGCTATTGTAACAACTCCAAAATACAAATTATATTGATGGTAGTATCTAACAATTACAACTCAACAAAGTAGAGCAACAGTAATGGAAATACAAAAATGCAGAAGCTAAGTAAGATAGAATAGAACCAAAGAAAGGGATGAGAAGCTAGACTCAGAATTGGGGAGGAGAGGATTCAGACATTTCTCTCGACATTATTCGCATAACCCCAAATCACGGACCATTGTCCCTTATAATAGAACTATTCTTACGCCTATTACTCAACCTGGATCCCAAATTAACCTGGCCCTACTGCTTGTACTTGGCCCAATAGTTCTTTTCAGCCCAATAGCTACTTGTGTGAGATTGGGCTGGTGCCGGTTCGTAACAATACTCCCGTCCTCAATAGTAAGGACTTCCTCTGATTTTGCAAAGTTGACAGCTGATGTTGTTCTATTAGTAAGGACTTTAACATCTGATTGCTCAGTGTCAAACACCTTGGAACAACAGCCATGTGACATTTTGTCGAACACCTAGGCTTGGATCTCTGTCGAATATTCCTTGATTGCAGCCAAATGACCTTTCGGCGGCTCGAGACGCCGTTTACGAAAACAAATCAACACTTTCTCAGTAAAATGTTCCTAATCCGCCAATTGTTTGGTCCGGAAAAGCCATTGGTACCACTTCAAAGCTTCTCCATCGAGATAGGACGAGGCGAGAGCTAACTTGTTGTTTTCTGAAATTCCATAAAATTTAAAGTATCGTTCTGCCTGAGAAATCCATAATTCTGGATTCTCGCCACAGAATCGTCGGAACTCCAGCCGAGTAGGCTTACTCGTTTCAGCGTTTCCGACCAACTCATGTAACAATGAATGAATTTCAGCCATCATGACCTTAATTGGATCGTTAGTTCGACATATTTGGTCCTCCATTGAAGACCTCTCAACGAAAGCACCAATGTAACAACTCCAAAATTTTAAATTATATTGATGGTAGTATCTAACGATTACAACTCAACAAAGTAGAGCAACAGTAATGGAAATACAAAAATGCAGAAGCTAAGTAAGATAGAATAGAACCAAAGAAGGGGATAAGAAGCTAGACTCAGAATTGGGGAGGAGAGGATTCAGATATTTCTCTCAACAGTATTCGCATAACCCCAAATAACAGACCATTGTCCCTTATAATAGAACCATTCTTACGCCTATTACTCAACCTTGATCCTAAATTAACCTGGCCCTACTGCTTGTGCTTGGCCCAATAGTTCTTTTCAGCCCAATAGCTACTTGTGTGAGATTGGGCTGGTGCCGGTTCATAACAGCAATGGAAAATATATTTGATGAAAGAAAGGAAAGGAACATGTAAATATATTTTCCGTTCATAGCAGCACTGGGGAAGAAAGAAAGGAAAGGAAAAAGAGGGGAAAATAATGAATGAAAGTGTAAAGAAAGAAAGGAAAGGAAAAGAGAGGAAAGTTATGGAAAAAGACGAAGAAGAAAGCAGAGGCTGTTGCAACAAGAATGGAGAAAAGAAAAAGATAGTATGTTGTAGGGTTTTCTACTGTGGAGTAATTTCGGGATTAAGAAAAATTATAAGGGATAAGAATGTAATATTTTTGGTCAAAGCAATATGGCTTTTAAGCCAATTTCGAAAAAGTTGGGTTTTCCAACTTATTGGTTTGGCTTTTTTTAAGCAGATTTTAACTTTTTTTAATCCCTTTTTTTGGTTGCCAAACACTTCCACAAGTTAAAAAGTGCTTAAAAGCTGGTTTGACCAGCTTTTAAGCCCATCCAAACAGGCTCATAGTCTTTGTCTTAATCATAATCTGTTCTTTTTCTTCAATAATTTCCATGTGTTGGTAGTCCTAGGATGTGCTACTCGCTCCTTTTCGTAAAGCCTCTCATGCATTTCTTTTTTACTTGAATGGATCTGCAGGTTATACAGGGGCATACACCGTTCAAACAATTGACGAGAAGGTGATCTTTTGTTTGTTATATCTCCTACCCTACTCTCCCCTTTCAGATATAAAAGAACAATTAGTATAAGAAAACAGAAATCTGTATTTCTTTTGTGTAGGTGTACTTTCTAAAAATGTAATGCCAGGGTCGGCCCTTATTCTGAATTGGAACTAATAGCAAGATCTATGGACGCATCTAAAAGACATGTGGCCTTATTACCAGTATGCTGACACCTGTTTATTAAACAAGAGGGACATAGTTTAGTTGAAAGAAGTACAAGCATGTCTTTAGTTAATTGATAACACATAAATAATCAATATAACTGCAGTTTAAGAAATGGTTACTTGTTCTTTTAAAGAAAGGACAAAAATAGCTTAGCAAATGGTTATCCTATGTAATTAGTCTTCTAAAGCTGACTCTGAAAGCGCATGTAAGATGTTCGGTCCCAAATTGGATGTCCAAAAACGCTTGAGTGTGGACAGTCAATTCGGAATGAAGAGAGTAAATGTCTCAGCCAGAAAATGTTTATTTCATTAATTATGATTTTATGTATTACTTTAATAACTTGCTAATCCTTGAAAGTGCTGAAGTTCCTAACGTGTGTCTACTGAGTGTTGGGCAGTGTGACGGGTAGGAGAAGTATTAGACACAGACGCAACAACCAAACTTAAGAGCTCATAGTCGTGAGGTTCAATCTATGTACTAGCCATTTTGTTGGATTGCAGAACAGGGTTACAAGTGAAAAGATCTGCTGGAACTGAGTTTTCATTAATGAGAAATCAATTTTACTATATTGAAAGATCGAAAGTTGCTTTGATTGGGTTTAACAAGTCGAATCTGTGTTACAGATTTGAGGATGAGCTTGTTGTTGCTGTTGGAAAAGGAGAACCCGCTGAAGTGATGTCTGAATATGGTTTTAAGTAAGATTCCTGGTTTTGCATTTCATGATTGTAGGTTGAGAGGGTATGCTTTGATATACTTAACAATTTCAACTGTGATATACTACTGTGCTTTAAATTTCAGAAATGTTCTCTCCATAGACGAGTATGCATCTTATTTTGACAACATTGATCCATTGGCCCAATACAAAAAATGGACAGACAAGCAGGATCTTAATCAGAATAGCAAGTCTAAGCATTTTGCTTTGAGCAATGATCCATGCTCACAGAGAGTGCAAGCAGTCTTTGTTGTTAGTGATTCTGTTGATTGGAGCAGGGACATCCAGGTATTCTTCTTTTTAACATAAGCTTAAACTTGCAGGTACCTGGTAGATTAACGCTAAAATCATGTGGAGTAGAGAAACAAAGATCGAAAGACACTTTTATGCTATATTTTTCGTGCGTCTACATGCATCTCGTCTTGCTATATGCACTGTGTTCAAATTCGGTCTCAGTCGAAGCTTTGAAATTCTAACTAGACAAGTCAATTTAGGTTCTCTGTGACATTCTAAGGACTGGAGGCCTGCCAGGAAAAGAGATTGCACACCAGCCACCACTTTTTTTTGCAAATGATGACCTTGCCTATCAGGTATTTTAATGTTAAATAGATCAGATTGTCCTTGGCTTTCTTCAACCTATTTATAGAGAAGGTAACCTTTCTATCTGATTTTTGACTCTAGGCTCTGTTTCCATCAGAACGACTTGGCATGGGTGCTTTCAGAATTGCATTAGAATCCGTCTTCAATGCGTGAGGCTCATTGCCAAATATCTTGAGACTTGATATGATATCTGGCAACATAGAATGCAGCTTGCATATACTTCCATTATCTTGCTCTGATTATAGAGTTGGCGCCTTGTTTTGAATATGTAACTCTGGTTTAGTTTAAATCTTAAATTACGTGAAACATACATAAGATGGATTTAGAGATGATGTGAAAGAAACTGCAGCTTCCTGTGATGCACTTCTGAGACTAGTTTTTGTTTACAGTATCCACCCTGCTGCGCTGAAGTATACGTCATATGGAAAACCAAGTCCGTTTGTATATAAAAATGCGGAGACAGTATTGACGCAAGTTTTACAATCATCTCAAGATAACAATCAGGTAGATGGTAGAGAGCAGCTTTTCAAAACCTTATATATGATTGGTGATAATCCCGCTGTTGACATCAAAGGAGCTCGTCAGGTTTGTTCTTAGACTTAATATGCTACTACTTTCAGCTATTTCATTCTATGTATAACTTTGAATCTTACATTTTAAGGCTGGAAATCCTTGGTTCTCTATTTTGACAAGGACTGGGGTCTTCAAGGGGAAAGAAAATCATGACGATTGCCCAGCAGATCTGGTGGGTGAATGATATTTTTGAACTATGATTGAATCTACTTTTAATTTTTTATTTTCTTTATATTGTGAAGCATATTTAATTTCTCTTTAATTCCGTCTGCACTTTCTCAATCTACCTGGAAAACTAGCCTGTGAAGCTAAAAGGTGGATAGATGGTATCCTCTCACGTATATACGTGAGGGTCCATTTCTACACTACCATCAAGCAAATATAATGATCTTTACTAAGAACAAATTGCCCAAGCATGCTCTTCATTTAATGCAGGTTGTGGACACAGTGGAAGAAGCAGTAGACTACATTTTGAGCAAGGAGTGTATCTCATGATGCACATCTGGTAGAAGTCTCACCATGATTTTACCTTATATATGTTAATTAGGGGGCCATGAGGAAGTTGGTGGATCTCGCAGCTTAGCAAATCACTATTAATTGCAATTTTTTTTCCTTTTTTGGTATAAGGAAAAATTCAAATTTGTTCTTACTGCAATAAAGCATTGGTTAGAGCTCGTCCCCGGTTGAAGAAACAAGTACTGCAAACCTGATTCTTAAATCTGAGAGAAAAGTACGTGAAGATATTTAGCACATCAAGCCGAGTTGATTCTTTGTCCAGATCATTTCTTGATTTAAACGATCTTGATATCTGTTTGTCCTAGTGTGTCATTCTTAAACTTCAAATGACTTTGTTATGGAGTAGGCTCTGGCTTCTTATAGGATTTTACTTCACAAGTTACTTGATAGATCAAGTTTTGCAAAATAGAAGCTCTCTGCTCTAATTGTTTAAACGTTCAGTGGCTATTGCCATCACATACCCCTTTAGGACTTGAGTTTGGAAGAGCTTAAAGCATCTGATCTGAAACATTTCTTGGGAATAATAGAGCTTGCAACGACTGATCAGCCTTCAAAAGTGAAGATAACTTGGTGTCAGATGGGAATGGTTGTGCAGTTGGGCATCCCTCTCCATCTCGAAAGGTTTGTCAAAACATACAACTGTATGAAACACAAGTAGTCTCTACAAGTACATGCCTATTGGACTTATTTGGTTTCGTTTTGTAAAAGAATGTCTGCAGCAAAGCTCAAGGAATCTTTCAGATAGCAAATCCTTTTAACTCCGACCATTTAAGGAATTCAAAAGCCTTACATCTTTTGGGATCTGTAAAACGATTCCCTTGCTTGGTTCCAAATATTAATTGTTTTGACAAACTTAAGAGCCCGTTTGGATGTGCTTTTTTTATGACTTTTAAGTCGAAATAGTTTTTAAGTCATAAGTTAGGATTTCTAGCTTTTGGCTTATTTTTGTCATTTTAGCTTAAAAACAAGTGTTTAAAAGTACTTTTTTACTTTATCCAAAGTCCAAACACTACAAAATGACTTAAAAGCTATTTTAACGAAAAAACACTTAAAATAAGCCAATCCAAACGGGCTCTTAATATGGACCGGAGGAAGTATTAATGTAAGAATACAATCCAGCAAGTTGCAGTGACTTGTCAAAATAAGAACATTTTTTTCACTATAGTGAGAGAAAGAACTCATTGATCATGATTATAGAAGGGTGTTCATATGGTTGGTATATCAGTACGATTCTTTGAATTCCTACCAATTGGTGACTATTTCATTTTTTAAAATTGGATGGAGGCGCAACGACTTAAACTGGAGGTACCAACTCTTTATGCTTTGTATTTTGGTAGGTGTTCTCGATGTGTCTTGGAAAAAATTTGTTGGCTTGTTGATGCGGCGTGCAATTTTGTGATCTAACTTTTGAAGTTTCCCTAATTAATAGTAGTAGGTAATTAAGTAAGATTAAATGCCATCTATACGTTTGGTTTTTTCAATTTAAAGTACCCATTTAATTTTTTCTAATTTCTTCCTCATATAGGTAGACGGTAGGTTTGACGATCTTTTCGTAAGCTCAGCGTTTTCTACCTTAGTAACATTGATTGTTGATTCATGTCTTGATTTTTTCAAATCTATAGACGTAATTTCTTGATTTTTACATGTGATAAGAGATTCAGCAATGGCCTCTTGGCGTTGTCAGTCACATATGGGGTGACCAAATGGGAGATTAAAATCTTGATCTTAGAGATGTCGGAAAAAATCAGAAGGAAATAATAATATATTATTAATCCACTGATAACTTATATAGACATTTGGAGTTTTACAAACATTTCAACCTATAAATACGTAGGGGCATTTGCATCTATACTCGCTTTTTGGGTCACCTTTTAACTTATTCCTACTTTGCAAAAATAATTGCAAGCGTACCCACTTTTCGCGTAACTTCAGACATACGGTGCTGAAGTGGCAAAAATTTATGTCTGAAATTTGAACTTCAGAATGTTTTGCCTGAAGTGTAGCAAAACTTCAGATATTTTTGCATGAAATTTGGCCTGACTTGCAAAGACAATCACGCAAACTTCAGTTCATAGTGCAAATGGCAAAGTTCAGTTCAATAAAACTACAACATGTTTTGGCTGAAGTTTTTGTTTGTAATTGCTGAACTTCAGCATTCTAGTAGCTGAAGCTTTGTTCTGTATTTGCTAAACTTTAGCATGTTTTAGCTGAAGCTTTGTTCTCTATTTGCTGAACTTCAACATGTTTTAGCTAAAGCTTTGTTCTGTTTGTGATGAACTTCAGCATTCTAGGGCTGAAGTTTGTTTTGTATTTGCTGAACTTCAGCATTCTTAGAGCTGAAGTTCTAAACAACAATGAATTTAATAAATCATGATTAGCAGCGATTGATGCTGTTCATTTCAAAGATTAAAGAATGAAAAATATTTTCGACATGAAAACAAGTTACTACAGATAAACTAGAACCAAAAACCAATGTGCCTGTAAAGCTAAAAATATCTAAGAGGTTAAATTATTGTGAATAAGACCAAACTGAACATAATGGGACAAGCAGATATATATGGATCATCAGGCTAGAACGCATAACAATATCTCAAGCTTCAGCATTCAGAAAACGAAGGAGGAGAAGGAGGAGGAGAAAGAGGCCTGCAGTTGTTTAAACAATGGGTACAAGTTAAAGCTTTTTTAAAAAGTGGGTATAGGTTAAATTGGGGGGGGGGGGGG